ATATATATATATATATATATATATATATATATATATATATAGAACGTAATATATTATAGAATAAAAAATTGTTATAGAAAAAAAATCTCGTTTTATAACATATTTAAAAATCATCAAAAAAGTTTTTTTTGTTGCAACTTCATATTTGCGATATTACATGTTTTCAATATTATTGTTTTTTTATATATGTTTATGGATGTATTAACGTTGAAAACTTTTATGTTTTTTTTTTAATTATTCTGTTAAATAATTATTCTGTTAAATATTTTTGCATAATTTTATTGCTAATAATGTGTATTTTTTATATTTTTTTTTTTATTATATAGTATTTGATAGTAATTATTTTTTCGAAGAATTCACGGAATGTTTAAATTCTTTATGAATAGATATTAAATGCAATGATTTTCGCATATTCAAGCTTCAATATGAATTGAGATTTCAAGACAATGTATGAAGAATTAGATTTTGATCAATTCCATCTTTTATATTAATATTAGTTATTTACTAATATGATTATAATGATGGAAGATAAATGGCAATTTTATACTAATATAGTATATGTTATCATAAATGTATAGATGAATGTATAATAATAACAATTCTTTTATGCAAATATTTTAAAAACTAAGACTGATCGTTATATTATTATATGTGTAGAAAAAATTTATTTAAAATATTGATTTCTTACAATATGTTTCAAAATCATCAAAATTGGAAAAGAATAGTTTCTTTAGAACTTTATTAATTATTAATTCTTTTTTGTTATAGATTTTTAAAATTTAATTCAAAATTGAAATTTATAATGTGCATCAAATGTATAATACGTGTACATAATATAATAAATATATATAACAAGTGTATGATAAACTATCGTTTTCAAAATTATAAATGTCGAAATTGAAATGAATTTTTAATAAAAAATAAATTATTAAAATAAATGAAATAAAAAACCAATCATTTAAAAAACAAAATTTTGAGAAATGACTCTTATAGTATTTTTATTATTTTTAAATGAAATAAATATTATTACATTTATCATATTGAATTTATTTCGTAAATTGAAACGAAAATTTTTATTTTCTGAATTTTTTCTATTTCTATTTATTCTATTCAAAATCTACTATAAATAAATCTTTACTATTTATATTTTTTTTATTCTTTTAAATTTAGTTCATTATAAATAGTTTATCAATGTTATCCATAATATCGGCCGTCACATGATAAGTTTAAAAACGGTATTTCTTTTCATTTCATTCCCTTCGTCTTCGCTATTATACTTACAATTCTATTTTTTCGCTTTATTTTCACTTGAATTATCTCACTATTACTCTTTTTATTATATAATTTGATGTTATATAATATAATGTTAAATAATAAAATTAAAAAAGAAGAAATTGAAAACGAAACTTGATACGCTCAATGTCTATGAACTACTGAGCATTCGCTTAATATAAGAAACGAAGAAAAAACAATGTTTTGAAAGACCAATCTTATATTGCCCCTATCTTATCAAAATAAGACTTTCCGTTCAACATGCTTCTCAACAATTAGCAAAATAATTCCTACTTATACAGGATATTAATATATTCATGAAAATTATTGAAAAATCGATTCTAGAAATCAAAATGAATACAAAAATTAATATAAAAATTGATTGAAGGTTATTTGTTAAGTTATAAGCAATTTAAGTTTGTGTTAAATCAAACGAAATAAGAACAAAATGCAACAGAGTAGAGAATAATGGAAATAGAACGGTTTTATTCTTTTTTCATCTCGCATCTAATTTCAATTGTTTAAACTTAATATTTAATAAATAAGATTTGACATTGATATTTTTTTATACATCACTTTTACTATACAACTTTTGTTTTGGCTTTTAGAATAAATTCTTCAAAAATATAAATTATGGATATATTAAAACTTTAATTATTATTCAAATAATCCTATTATTATTGTTCTAGCTCATGAATCTAGAATTATAATTTATAAGAAATATTTTCAATTTATATAAAATGATAAATTATTTCGATCATTTAATTTGAGAAATTTATTATACATTTTACTTAGACATTCTGTAAATACATGTTTTCAAAATAATAGTCATATATTTATGTAGTATTTATATAATAATTAAATTAAGTAATTTATACAAACGACATTTACAAGATAAAAATTGATTGTTGATTTCTTTACAACTTTCTCTACTCTTTTTTATTCAGTAATATTATGTAGAGTAAAGTATGTAGAGTTTTCAGCATATTGAATGTTCCTCATTATTCTACAATAATAAGAACAATATTCACTTTCAATTAAATTTATATGGATGTTACATTAAATAAAGAAAATTTTAGATTTTTTAGATTTAGATTTTTATATATAAAAATTTAAAATATTATTAAAAATATTAGTTTAAATATAATATTATCAATTAAATCTATAACACAATTAGAATATAAAATAAATCGATTAATTACGCTGCAAGATCTATTAATTATCAATTGCAATATCAATTTATTTATTATGAGACTTAATAAAATCTATTATTTTGAAAATTGTTGTTTTGTAATAGGATTATATAAAATATATATATATTTTTCGAGCAGAAAAATAGAAATACTATAGTTTATTATAAGATTTATGGTTTTTGTTTTTTTTATTCTACGAGAATAAGAAGAGCATCAAGTTCCATTAAAAAAAATCGATGATCTTGAAATCTCTTTAAAAAAACTCTTTAAAAAAATTATTTTATTATTATGTATATTTCTTTAAATAATATAATTTTGTCCTAAGAATTCTTTTCATAAAACAGAGATCCTCCTTTACAAAATAAGAGGACCATTTTTATTTTTTTTTAAACAAAATATCATATTAATTAGTATTTATTTAATTTATTTATTTATTTCATATTAATTTTTAAAAAATAGCTCTTATAAAGTTGAATAATGTTTGTTTGAAACATTTTTCATTATTCTGCATAATTAAAAAATTATGACGAAAGAAAAAAATTTTAAATCCAAAACGTAAGATATTAGAAAATAATTAAAATAGAACTATTCTAACGTAAAATTTTAAGTGTGCAAAATAGTAAACTTTTTAGTGTATATATATTAAATATATATATATATATATATGTGTGTGTATGTGTGTATTTATATTGTACTAACAAATAAAAAAAAAAACGAAAACAAATATCAAATAATAGTAAATTCATAATTCAATGTTGTTTAATGTACAGAATAATATAAAAAATATAACTAAATATTTAGAAGTGAAGATTCACCATTTTGAACATATAATATGAATTTCAGAATAATTTATTTTAGTTTAAATTTTTAATATTTTAAAATAGCATAATCCAGTTTAAAATCCAATTTAAAATCTAATTTTAAATTTTTTTTATCGCTCGTGTAACCTTAACCTAAAGAATAATAATTTCAAGATACAATTATTTTTTCTTATTTTGCAATAATGAAATATTTCATAATGAATTGAATTTATCGGAAAAAATATTTTTACGAAATTTAATTGGTATAAAGAAGAACATCATATCGTGCAAATTATATTTTTATATGTCAAGTAGTGAAAAAGATTTCAAAGTCAAATTCATTTTTATAATAAATGAAATTGTATATTTTTTTCGTAACACGATAAAATTTTATAACAATAAAAGATCTTACATGATCTTATTAAATTTATTATCGTATTATAAAAAAAAAAATACGATTTCATTTAGAAACAAAAATTATTTAATTTTGATTTTGAAATCTTTCCCATCATTTCATATATAAAAAGATAATTTTGCATCATATATAATACATAATATATAATACATATAAAATTATAATACATAACTTTTAAAAAATATATTTTTGATAGATTCAATTTCTTACAAGATATTTCAACATTATATTATTAATATTCATATTGATATTTCAATATTGAAATACAATACAATAAAGAAAAAAATCATTTTTTATGCATATTTTTATATATTATAAATAAAATCATAACAAAAATTGTATTATTTTGTTAAAATAGAGAAGTTTTAAGAATTCAATATCCCTTGTCAAGTGTAGATAATTTAAAGAATTTATTTTCATTCATTTATTTTCATTCATGTAGCATTTTTCAAATTTATTTTGTATAATAATATTTGATATTAATAATATTTAAATAATAATAAAATTTAATAAAAATAAAATATGATTTTGTATTGCGAAGAAAAACTCTTTATTTAACAAAAAGAAACGAATTAAAAATTATTTAACAAATATCATCAAGAATCTTAAAAAAACAAAATAGTTTTATTAGATAAAAAAATTATTTTTAAGATGTTTGACTGTAAATATTTTTTTTCATTTAAATTTTATTATATTTATATTATTAATTATATTTATATATTATTTTATTTATATTCTCAATTTTTAAATTAATGGATATTTAAAAAGTAAATTATTACATTTAAGGATTTATTTATTAAAACATTAAAAAATTAATTTATTAATATTAATTAATTTATATATTCAATAAATATCAATATAACAAAAAAAATTTGTTCTTTTTAATAAAAATATCATTGAATCTTACAATATTTATTATATACTATTACAATTCAATGATCATTACTTTTCATTTCTATTACAATTTTTTTTTTTTTTTACAAACTTATGCTATGTATATAATTGAAAATAAAAATTATGTAAAATACATTTCTTTTTAGAATTTCATAAATGATGCAGAAATTTTATTGGCATCTCCAAAAACACCCGAAGGATCTGGTGGAACTTCGATTACTGGTAGCACACCTGGAGTTATAGGTGCTCAAGAAGTGTACAAGTAATATTATATTTTATTATTTGTTATTTTAATATTTTTTTATCCGGAAAGTTATTATAATTCCTTAGGAAATACAACTTTTTTACTTTTATAAATTCTTATAAGAAACCATTTCCAAGTGTAAATTGCCGATTTTAATGAAATTTATGTATGTTCTCGAAAAAATATTTTAGATGCAATTTATTTTACATGTTAATATAATATATATAATATTGACATGTATAATATTCATGTCAAAGAATTCAAAAGCAGCCTTTATTTAGAAATATTTATAATATAAAAAAATATAATATAGTACAAAAAAATTTTTAATGAGTTTCATAAAAATGATTTAAATATAAATAATAATTATATATTTGTTTTCAAATAGTGAATTTGGTTATATAAAAAACCTTCTAGAAATCTATTTGTTTAAAAAAATAAAGATTTTATATTTAATTATTTTTATTACACAATATTGTTATATTTTCATAAAAATTTACGAATATAAATAATTATATGAATATAAATAATAATTACAACTTTATTATGAAAATAAATAATTATATAAAATACGAATAAATTAATTAATTAATTATTTTGATTTTTGATATTATAACAAAATATATATATTTTTTATTTTATATGAGATAGGACTTATATAAAATATAAAAATTATATAATTTAAAAAATCAAAATTATAATATTATAGTATTGTAGTATGCTTACAATTTTTATTTTATATTTCTAGTTTGTATAATTATTATTTTAAATATAAAAATATCAAATACATATAACTGCTTGTGCAACTTTAAAAAAAGATTTATGACAATTTATATAGCGATAAGTTCTTGCTACAGAATAAGTTCTCAAATTAAAGTATAAGACAGAATCATCATATTAATTTATAAAAGATTAAATTTTTTATAAATTAAAATATAGATATTGTTAATTTTTATACAAATTTTAGATCAAATCTTTGATATTTTATCTTTTCCATAATGTAACATTTCAATTTCTGAATCTGAATTTCAAGTGATAAAAAATAAGAAAATATACTTATGATTTAAAAAATGCAATTCCTTAATTTTCTTTAAGTTGTATTTTCTGAAATATTAATATAATAATCATAAATGAATAATTTTTTATTCAATTATTTTCTTTTTAGAGATCCCAGACAAAAAAGACTCGCGGAAAAACAAAAACAGCAGCAAAGTTCTCAAGTTGGGCAAGTACCTGAAAAGCTCAGTTTTAAAGAAAAAATGAAAATGTTTGCAATGGAAACCGGTGAAGATGGAACTCCACGGGATAAAGTAAAAATTTCACGTGCACAGCGTGAAATAGATAATATTGGAAATCCCGCATTGAATAGCAACTATTACAATAACAGTAATAATAGCATTAGCACCAGTAATAATAACCAAAATAATAACAACAACGGCAATAATATCAACAACAATAGCAATCGACATCAATAGAAATTAAGACTGAAAATTGAGATTTATTTTTTTTAAAATCATATATGGATCAGATAAAATTGCGATGCATCTGATACCAAACTGTTATTATACCATACAGAGTAGAATGTATATGTTATATTGATAATGATACTAACTATTTCATTATGAATATGAACGTATATGCGAACGTATATGCATTCTAGTAATTTGCCCAATTTTGACCAAAATATTATAAAAATGAGTATAAATAAATAGAAAAATTAAAAATATTAGAGTAGAGAATAAATGCGTTCATATGACGGAATCAGTTTTCATATTTTTAGCATTTAATAACACAATGAAATTAAATGCATTTGATTGGACCAATTTACGATTTTTGATAATTCTGCTATAAATAAGGCTTATAATAAAATATATTATATAAGTCAATAAGAAATAAATACATTTAAAGTGACTAATTATTTCTTACTTATAACAAAAAATTAAATGAATTTAAATGATTTAAATGAAATATTTAATTGCAAAAATTATATTAGATAAATGCAATTAATTTTTTTATATCTCATATTATTTCTGATTTCTAATTTTTTGATCAATAGATTTTTTTTAACCATTTTTTTTTTTAATGTAACGCGTTGAGAAGGTGAATTTAATATTTTATAATGAATTAACTTGTAATTGATCTATTTAAATAAAATATTTAATATAAATTGCATCACATACTTTATACGCTTTTATTCATTATATGTGTTAAATATATCTATTGTTAATTTTTATAGATTTGTTTAATTATTATTACAATGAATTTGGAATAGCTATCAATATTCCATTCGAATATGCCATTATTTTCATAAACGGTATAACCATTAAATTAAATGGCATAAAGTATATGAAATTTTTATGAATTATGAATTATTATATAGAAATTTCATCCGTTCAACCTAAAATCTGATATTATAAATGAAATATATATACGAAAATGTTTTGTTGATTACTCTTTAACTTCGAGAAAAACTGTCTAACAATAATTTTAAAATCGATGAATCAGTCGAAATAGATCTGTTAACTGGTCCGCATATTCGTTATTGAATTTTTTCTTATGGAAAATAATAAAAGATATTGTGATATAATATAATCGCAAAAAATACATCAGTATATTTGGAGAACATATAAAGTAAATTATATCGAAAATCAACAACAGTTCGAAATAAGTAAAGTGAATGTATAAAAGTTAATGTAATAAACTAAATATGTACTACAAAATAAATAAAATAATAAATTAAGTATTTTATCTCAGTTTGAGATTCAAGATCAACTAAAATTTTATACAAAATTTATTATAGATTGTTGAATTTGCCTTCTTTCAGCATATAGTATTAAAAAAAAGATTTATTGATCACGAAAATCTTAAAAATATAAGATATAAAAAAATTTAATTGTATTCATCTCTTTCATACATCTTGCAATATACTTATATGTTTTATACTATATTTACTTATTTCATTTTTGATACATGTAAGAGATAACGAGTTATTTTATATGTTAGTTATTGACTTATCCTGTATATTGGATTTCAGAATTATTACATCGATTTATGAAGAGAAAATATCATAAAGATTATATATCATGAATTGTACATAGATAGAATTAGTTAAGTTTTTAGAATTATTTGTTACTTATAATGTTGTTTCGTATTTATATTTGATGTAACGAGTGTCGAATAGAGTATTTTGATTTATGTATATGCATTTTTTCGTATTATAGCCAAAAAATACGATAGCTTTAATGCAATCGTTGATAAAATATACGAATTAAAATATAAACATACATGAATTTAATCAAATATGACAAACATACACAAATTTTATCAAATTTGAAATAAAACAGTAATTATGCAAATAAAAAATTGGATTAATAGACATATTTGATTAAAGGAAATTTATCATGATTATATGCATTTCATATTTATGACTATTATAATTCTTTTATCTTCTCAATTTATAACATAAATATAATAGTCATGATAATCATGATAGTATAATACATTTTATTTTAACATATATAAAAGTAATAAAAAAAAATCCTTTAACTATTATGTTTCTTAAAATTAATTTTTTTAATTTAAATTCCTTTTTCGTTTTTGCCATTGTTGTTATATATTCTAAAAAAAGTATTAAAAAATTATTAAAATTAGATTGATAGAAAATAGATAAAATAACAAAGAAGAATTTGTAGTAAATAAAATATCTTTTTTGTTATATATCGAATATAAAATACATACACAATATATATATATATATATATATATATACATATATATATATATACATATACATACATACATACATACATATATTTGCACTATATTTTTTCTAACAAAATAATGATTTAAAATGAATATTCTATAACTGTATATGTTATTACAAAGCATTATCAAAGTTAACAGTTTGTAAACAGTAACAATTATATCTATAAATCACCTATTTTTTTAATTATTGTAAAAAATATATAATGCAATTGAAAAATAAAAATTATTTGCCATCTATAGTGATTAAAAGAAATTATATTTTAGACAAAATTAAATTTTTTTTAATAATACCTAATTTCATAAAAATAATAAGTCAATTTTTAAATAAAAAATAACATGTAATTAAAAAAAATAATTATGGAAATAAAACTCTTTCTTTAAAAAATCTCATTTGCATATGAAAATATTCTTTTATTACATGAAATGGATATTTCAAAAGATATCAAAATAAAAGTATTTCGAATGTAGCCATAAATAAATGAAAAAATAATAAATAGATCAAAAATAGATTTAATTAAGAATTAATTAATAAATAATGATTAAAAATTAGGAAAATTAATTTGTAATTGTGATTTGTAATTTATAATTCATCTAGTTTTGAGACATTTGTTTGTTCAGAAGATTTAATTATTATTATTATAACATATATTTAAACGAAAGTTATAGATAAATATATAATATTAAAATTATTTTTCTTACAAATGTAATATATTCAACTTAATATCATTTCAAATTCATTAAATAAATAAATAGATCAAACATATACATATATAAATAAAGAATTGTCATCATATACCGATATATATTATATTAATAATTTTATATTTTTAAAAAAATAATCAGAATTCAATATATTTTATATCGTATCCATAAATTGAAAGAAAATAATCTATAATTATTTTCAATAAAATTTAATGATGAAACTCTTAAATCAAAAGTAAGAATTTTATGATGAAATTTTATTAAATCAGTTTATTTTATATTAAAATAAAATATTTTTAGATTTTTAGACATACTATGATGATCAACCAATCAAAAATGTTTTAAGTGTATTGACTTCTTGTTGACTAGAGAATTGTACGATAGAGAGCGCATGCTACGTACATATATTACAATTTAGCTGATATTGACTAAAAATTTGCCGAGAGAGGCGGCATAGTCGCAGTCAGGTGCAAGGAAACATTTTCTCTTCAATTCATAGAATACCGTCATGTCTACTTCAAATTGAATTCAGAGTCGATTTGATTGGATTGTGAGTGATTTTTTGTTACTCGATTACGTGATACTCATAATAGTGAATTATTTAAAACAATAATAAAAATTTACTTAGTCTCAAGTGGTTTTTTACATCGATACAAAAATACTTGAAAATACTGCAGAACTGTTCAATAATGAACAAACTTTGAACAAAATATTGGCTGATTTATTAGCAGTGTATATAGGAATTGATTACAAAATCAAAGAAAGAATTATTAAATATAACAAACAAAAATTTGAAACGATATTGAAACGTTGATTGAATGTGGCAACGCAATTTGCAATTTTGCGAACTAACCAATTAACACGGATTAAGCACATGTATATTAATCATTGATACAAATTAATAGGTAAATTTTTCTCTTATTTTTTCATTTTAATTTTACGTAAATATATGTTATAATTAGAATTAGATACATATATATAATATATATATATATAATGTATATAAGTAAAATGAAATTGATTTAATTAATCTAAAAAATATTGAATAAACTGGTTATATGAGATATATAGTTCAGAACATTTAAAATGAAAGTGTTCATTTATAAATATTTCGTTATTCGTTTAATGAAACGAGTAATAGAAACATTAATTTTATAATATCTTAAATAGAATATATGTAAATTATCGATCGTTAACGTCGTAGATGTAGAATCATTGACGTCGTTTGTGCCTGTATTGTGTGCGTGCGCATATTATATGTGTACAAGTAATTGATCGTATAAGAATCATGTAAAATTGATTGGAATCAATGTTTATTTGATATTCAAGTTGAATTCATATAATTTTTGTTATTCACAAAATATTCTTGCTAATTCAAAGTAGAAGAATTGTATAAAGTATATAATTTATATTATAATAATTTATCAAAATTTTGAAATGATGTGCTAATTCTTTTTCTTTATATAAAATTATATATTTTTTATATTTAATCTTTTTTCCATTAAAATAATAAACAATCTATAAATCTATAAAATAATTAATATACAATTAGATTAACGAAAATTAAATAACGAAGCGTGATAATTATGAATGATTAATTAAAATATTTTCAAAAATATCATAAAATTTAATTTAATTGATATTTTTAAAAGAAAAATGAATATTTAGAAGAAATTGAAAAATTAGATTAAATAATACGTGCATTTACATGTATATATATATATATATATATATATATATATATATATATATATATA